CTGTCTTTCAGACATCAGGTATACAACAGAAGCAGCAATGTGACTGCTCATTTATTCCCTGGGTCTTGAAGAACTAGGGGTATAGAGCTTGGGCATAGTAAAGAAATAAGAGAGATGGGCACACTTCATTTAACAAGTCCAAATGGACTAAAAGAGAAAATTCCTTGAAAATGGGGGTGAGTAGAAGAAGCAAAGATGGCATGGCATATGCTCTTACTAAAGGAATTGCTCTTTAGTTTTTAATTTTATTCAGTGCAGTAGTCACACAAAGGAGCTCCATTTACAAGTGGAACATGACTCCGAGCAATTTGACTGTGTGCACAGTAGTAAAAGAAGCATAGAGCTAAAAGCTGGAGGTCAGCTGAGATTCTCCTTCTGCTCTGCAGCTAGGTGGTAGAGCTATCTAAAATTGCCAGTATCTGGCCTTCTTTTTTTTTTAAGCAACAGAGATGACAATTATGAAACTTTGAAACTAATACATAATTTATACACAACTTTTGATGATGTAATACCTGTTTAGAGCTTTGTGTTTTTCTTTTGTGCTAGGAATCAAACCCAGGGCCCCACACGCACGTGGCAAGTACTCTATGGCTAAGTACCAGGCTCCCTATATCACCTGGTTACTAAAAAAAAATCAAAGAGTACTCATTCAAATTACAAAAATATTTTATAATTGCTAAAGAATCCTTGGGCTCCGAAGAACTACTACCTTTGAATTTAAAAGGTAATATAAGGAATTCCAAACAGAGAACACCAATTACAGCTGACAGAAGATACAGAAACACAATTTAAAGAGGATGGTCCAAGTTCCAAGGCTCTAGGTTGCCTCACTAGATTCACTGAGTTGCTGAGTCATCTTTCCATAGTGAACAGAGAATAATACTTCAAACTGATTGTGGACATCATGTTGAGAATGCTGATCAGCTGGTAATAATTTTTTTTAGAAATATGCTCAACAAGCAAAGTTCAAAGATAAAAGGAAAAAGAATTTTAGTTTCTAAGAACTGAGAAAATTTAGGGTCTTGAAAACTTCTCTGAACTGCAATTTAATAAGGTTTAAACTAAGCCTACATTTACAATTTAATATGGAAAGTCATCTGCTCCTAGACCTAAGACAATGTCCATAAAGTTAAAATGGAAGCTTCTGTGGTTACAATAATGATTCAAGAATTTGTCAATCCAAAGTTAATAGAAAAATGAAGAAAATTCAGAAGAATTATTTCAAAACTTAATCAGAAGAGTTTATCCTGCTGATAAATAAAAATGGATTAGTGACCTACATTAAAATGCCTTTCATTTTATTTTCTTGCCCTACTGAACTGGCTAGTACTTCTAGTGCTATCCTGAATCAGAGTGATAAGAGAAAACATCTTTTTCTCACTACTGTTCTTAGGGGGGAAGTATTCCATGTTGTACCAGAAGAAATGACATTTATAGTAAACTTGTTCTCACTCCTGGCCAAGCACCAATAAGCAAACTCTGAATATAAAATTTATTGGAATATAGGTCAGAGTGGTGAGAAACTATGTCACTTTTTCCCTACCTAATTTCTACCCCTCTTTCTTCATAAAACAATACTTAAGTTTTCCCTCGGGGAACAAAAAACTTCCCCACCATCTACGCAGTCTGATGCAATGGGCAAGTGAGTCAGGTTTGGCCAACTCCTCAATCTCATTATAAGTACTCTGTCAAATAAAATGCAAACATAAGACTTCATAAGAATTATTAGGAAATTATTAGGCAGTACTCTCTGTGCACCAGGCTTATAAATTTGTAATCAACAAACTATGGCCCATGCCTAAGGTTGCCTTCTCCCTGTTTTTTCACATGATATCCCACTAAAATGTGGCCATACTCATTTACATATTGTCCATGCAGCCCTGGAGTCTCAGTAGCAAAGCAGAGTAGCTCCAACAGTGACCACATGGTTCTCAGAGTCTGAAATATTTACAATCTGGACTGTCTCACACCACACACACACACACACACACACACACACACACAAAGTTACCTGATCCCTGTTTTTGATAATAAGATGTAAGCTGGGAATAATTAGGAAGCATATCACCACTATATGGACAGAACCTATTAGAAATGAAGGCAAAATTAAAGAAGAAACTAATTCTCAGTGTTATCGAAGTTCCCAGATTCAGGTGAACAAGAACTATTAAACTTCAATATATACCAGTTATGTAAATTTATAAATATGTAAATTTGTAAATCAATCAATTCATCTTTTTCTCAGGCAAATTTGAACTTGGTTTTATTTATCTGAATTCAAACTCACTATACAGGTGAAGTCCACCTGCTCATTTTTAGGACTACAACTCTAAGTTCTTTCTCCATATACAGTCATCAATGCCATGAAGACATTTGACATTTCTTTAGGCCAGAATGTCACTGGCTGCTAAGATGTTGTAAAATTAAATGATCTGAATTCATTTAGATTTATTTTCAATCAACCACCCACAGATAGTACTGAACAATGAAAGAATAAAGGAGAGAAACCAAAATTAGCTTCCCTTCAAATAAAAAAATTAAGAATAACAATCAATCACAGAAAATAGGAGTAAGTATAAAAACATAGAGAGGTTCCACCATTAACATCTCCCTACAATAAGGGAACTATTCCCAGACCAAATAAATAAAGAAATTTCTGCTCCCATACAAAAGCCAAACCTCCCAGGGGGATAGATTTAACTAATTAGGGAGCTGGTGATTAAAACTGGAAGTGCTAATTGCCTACTGGGTATATATCTCCAGTAATGTTCCCTAGGGGATCTCAGCAATAGGAGACAAAATTAAGCCTAATATTCCTGCCAATTACGCAGAATCATTGTCTGCACTTATCTCCCTCTTTAGGAAACTAAAAATTACGTGGAGGTGTGGTTTTCAATACAAGCTATAAGTTCCTGGGAGAAAATAAGCTCATATCATATTTAGAAATAACTCTTTTGTGTTTAAACGTGTTTTAATGTGTACTTTCTAGAGATGTTGTTTTCAACAGAATGCTCTCCACCTGCAGAGGCCAGTGGTTAATCTATAAGAAAATGAAGTAGTTAGGAAGAAGACCAATTATATATAGACAGGGAACGGATATCAAGAAACGGAGGGAGAGGGGCATGGGTGGCTTAAAACAGAGTTGGTGATGCAATTTTAGAACTCTAACATACTGGAGGAAACACACACAAGCAGGGACACATGAGTGGGAGCAGGGGACATGCATAACAAGAGAAATATACCCTCACAAAATTTTTTCTTCCTGGGAACCTCATACAACATGAAGGCTATTTAAAAGAATTGCATAAAGTATTATAAAAATGAACAGGAGGGGCTCAGCGATAAGCACAGTAGGGAGGGCGTTTGTTTTGCACGCAGCCAACCCAGGTTCGATTCCCAGCATCCCATGGTCATATGGGATGCTGGAAATCGAACCCGGGTTGGCCACGAGCACCACCAGGAATAATTCCTGAGTGCATGAGCGAGGAGTAACCCCTATGCATCGCCGGGTGTGACCCAAAAAGAAAAAAAAATGAACAGGAAAGACTTGTAGGAGGTAATGTGACATTTTATTACATTAAAGATGGAATATGTGTCTTTGGCCAAACATGGGTTCAAATTCTAACATAGTGACCATGGTGAGGACTGCAATCACCCCCATAGCGTTCTTTCTCTTCTTCCTTGAAGTGCAAAGATGCCTTGGTTGCTAGCTGTCACTTGAGTGCCTGGGGACAGACTAGATTTCCCATTCTTCTTTACAAATAAATGTGGTCATATAATTGTATCTGCACCAAACTGGATGTTTTTGTCTCCATTATCTGGTGCAACCTGGGAAGCCATAGGTTTAGAATAGCAGAATGACCCTGCCAAGCAGGAACTGCTGCACTCTGAGAGATATATAAGTTTAATCTTATTTGAGCTACAATATTTTGGGAGTCTTTTATAGCAACCTAGCCCATTTCCAACTAATATAGGGACAGTTATTTAATCTCTCTAAGGTTCAGTTTCCTTATCTATAAAATAAAATCAAAACACTTATTTTGTAAGTACTAAGAGGAGTAAGGGTTAAGAAGTGTAAAGTACTTAATACAGGCCTTCCCAAAAGAAATGCTCAACTAATGGCAATTCGCTTCAGCAAAGAAACAGTCTACTTAGAAACCTACTTCCAAAGTCTGAGCACTTCAGGCAGCAACTACATCCACAAGAGCCCTACAGGTAAAAATGTGCATTTGCTTTGAGAGAGTTCTATCAGCAACAATATATCCCAGGAGTATCTGGTATCAGCTCAAAAGGAGAATTAAGATTAAAGAAACATTCAGAGTTTGGTAAAGCTAAAACCTCTAAACAGTTCTTTAAATATGCAGAAAGCATCAAGTGTTATGGAAACACTAATAGTTTATGCTCTGATGAATACACTGGGTTTCATGTTTATATACAAACAGCTGAGTAGAGGAAAATAATAATAATCAATACAGATCATCTAAGCAAAGTCAGCTGAGAAAGATACATAAACTGAAGTCATATACTTCATATTCAGCACTGTGCATCAGTGATATCTATGACTTAAAGCCCATTGTATGTGGTTCCCCACTTTGGACAATGCCTTTGAAAGGGATATTGACTGGCAGTCTGACATTATGAATTCTTCTTATTTTTTACTAGTGGTACTTAGTTATATTTATACTTCTTAAAATAGGGGCCATACTTGGGAGTACTGGAGGGCAATTAGGACAACACCCAAGGTTACTAAGGATCAAACCTGAGAACTGCCAGGGCTATTTTTAGCAGTACTCAGAGGCATCATGTGGTGCCAGGCATTGAACCGAGGGCCATGTACATGCTTAGCACATGTTCTAGCACCTGAACAATCTTTCCAGTTCTGAGACATTATGTGTTTCAAAGACCCAAGACTTTAGAGCAAGAGCAGAAATACCACACCAAAAAAGCAACAACAACCCAGCAGCTTTATCCTTGCTGCACTTCCCTGAATTGTTACTTACAGGTTCTCGGCCGTCCATGGCTTCCATCCAGAGTCTCCGGTCCTCCTCTGACATGGCCTGCATAGTGATAACCCCTGGCCTGCAGGAAAAGGGAAATACAAATGTGAACCCACAGGTAACAAGAGAGATCCTTACAGAGAGGAACTTTAAAGAAACACTCCCTCAACTAAGAGGATGCTGGCATTACCGACACAGAGAGGCATAGCTCTCAAGTTTTCTGAAAACTCTAGTTTCCAAAGGCAAAGCCTGCAGGCATTCCCCTCAATGCCATCTCCCCCAGGAAGCAGAAACTCAGATGACATGACTATATGTACAGGTAACAGACACAGGAATAAAGGGACTCCTGTTAGGAGTTAAGTCCAATGAGCTCATTCCTCCAAAATGCTTAACAAGGTGCTTTACTCACAAGTAGGAGTGCAGAAAAACTGAAAGGAATGGAAAGTAAAGCCCGAAAAAGATACATGATGGATACATACGGGGAAGCAGTCTCCTCTAATATTTAGTCCAGTACTTCTAAACTGCTACCAACATGGAGAAGTTTTATGAAGATAGTCAACTTTGTAACTATTATTAGAGCAAACATACATAGTAATTTTTTAAGATTTTTTTTAAGTTCCCACTACAACACGTTTTACAAGCATTGGCTCTTTTCACTCACAGAAATTAGCTTATCTTTCAAAGTGAATACAAATACTCCAGAAAGCACAGTATTAAATGGTGTCTGTTATGTTTTGATTATATATGGCACTTCACAAGTAGAGACTTGTACCATAAAAATGAACTCAGAAGGCACTAAAAGCCTCTATGTTCATTAAAACAGCAGTTCCTTATTAGGGTCTATCAGCAGATCCTAGAGAGTCCAGAAACCACATTCTTGCTCTGACTGTACGTGTATTTTTTCTTTAGAAACAATTCAAACTGTCTCCAAAAGGAAAAATAGTCATCTGCCACTAGGTTATCAAAGAAAAGAACAATCCTCAAAAAGCTAAGACATGCTGACTCTAATCCTTAAAATTTGAGGAAGTCAAAGACAAAGAGGTCTACTCCGCAAAGCTTAAGTTCTATGACCATGAGTCACAGCATCACTAATGATCACATACAGTAATGACACACATGGCCTGGCAACATCAAGGGACACCATTCTGTTCATCCAGCCACAAAGATGGCGATCCCTGTCTTGTTTCCATCAAGTAGGAACATCAACTAGGCTAAACCTATGCTAACTGTATTTTAAACAATTTGAATCTTTGCATAGATTATTTCTCAATATTAATATGTTTCAAAGATATACAGAGAGACTGAGGTATTTGAGAGGCTTTGTGTGAGACTGCAAACAGGGAGTATTGGGGGTGGAGGAGAGCAGGGGTGCCTCAGCATTCTGGGCAAAGAGGGAAACAGGTGGATGAAAAGGTGTATTGAGCATGAGAGACAGGTTATGGGAGGGACATGTCCTGAGAGAACGGTCATTCCTGTGAAGACCACATCAAAAACTGGTATTTAAATATAAAGATGATGTGAAGATACCTATCTCTTAAAAGACGGCAAACCCTCGTTCCTAGATTGCAGAAATGAATACTCCAAGGAAGGACAAGTGGGAGGGGGTGGGGGCGAGGATGCAGACTGGCAATAACATAAGGGCATTAGTCAAGAATCTCAAACATTTTGGTGGTTTAGAAGTGAGGTGACTATGTACATCAAACCGTAAGAGCAAGTAATGATCTTACAGGCAAGTGACCCAAAACAAATTTTAAAAATATTTATTTTGCTATGGAGGCTAGGTGGGGAGAGGGAAGGAACCTGGTGTCAGTGGTGGAGGAACGCTGGTACTGATGATGGGTTTGGAATTGGAACATCAAATGCTCAAAACTAACTCTGTAGGTCGGAGCAATAGTACAGTGGGTAGGGTGTTTGGGCTTGCACACAGCCAACCCAGGTTTGATCCCCGGTACTCCATATGGTCCCGAGCACCACCAGGAGTAATTCCTGAGTGCAGTGTCAGGAGTAATTCCTGAGCATTGCCAGGTGTAACCCAAAAATCAATAATAATAATAATAATAATAATGGGCTGGAGCAATAGCACAGCGGGTAAGGTGTCTGCCTGCATGTGTCCGACCCAGGTTCGATTCCTCCGTCCCTCTCAGAGAGCCCTGCAAGCTACCGAGAGTATTCCGCTTGCACAGAAGAGCCTGGCAAGCTCCCTGTGGTGTATTCAATATGCCAAAAACAGTAACAACAAGTCTCACAATGGAGACGTTACTGGTGCCTGCTCAAGCAAAGGGATGAACAACAGGAGAACAGTGCTACAGTGCTACAATAATAATGATAACAAAACAAACTCTGTGGCAAGGGGACATAATGGACTGATTCAATACTACCTTTTAAAGAACCAAAGACAAAACATTAATGGCTTTGAAATAAAAAGTTTATAAAGCTACCTTCTATGACAGAACCCTCTGGGCCCTGGAGCTGAAAGGACTGCTCAGCATGTTGGGCCTAGATCTCTGGCAGCAGAAGTGGGCATCCCTTCAAATAGAAACTCTGGCCTAATCTGCTCAACAGAATCTGAACTTCTGGGCTGCTCTTGAGAACTTGGATACCAACCAACTCCACAGTGCACAGATTTAGGTCTAAGGCCCCACAATCAACGGCTGACCAATCTTTCCCACCAGTTTCCCCTCGGCTACACTGCACTGGACAGCAAAGAGAGCATCCTCCTTATGCTGGGGCCAAGTAGCCAATGTGTCTCCAGTTCACTTCCTGCTATACACTCACCAGCAAACACTGAGAACACAACAATTGCCCCGTGAACCAAGAGCTCAGGGCCCTCACATATGTCATTTAAACTACTTTATTGCGTGTAGCGTGAAATTTCCACCCCAAGCCACAAAGAGGAAGTGCAGACAAGTTCAGAGGCTTTGAGGGCAAGCCAGTGAGCCTTAGTAATTAGAAAAGTCAGCAGGTTCGTTTTCATACCAAGAGAAATACCAAAATACCAATTATTTTCTATATGCTGCTTTATCTTTCATTAGGGCAAAGGATGGCAGAACTGAAGAAAATGAGCATGATTTAGTTCTAATTCGATAGTCCCAAGTTCAGACTTTCCCTTCGGCTCCTATAGGGACATCTGGATCACAGTATGACCTTTCTAGCCATTTACAAAGCATTCTCCAACTCCAAGGTTCTTTTCATTCTTTACCATTTAAACCATCATTACATAACTCTCCTACGTTTGCATTTCCTAGAACCAAAATTAAAAGGTCAACTCTCTTTATTTTGGAATCCGCAATTTTTCCATATTTAACCTTCCCTATGTCCCTATTAGACACAAGCGCTGGAAACAAAATGAGTCCAGTTCTCAATAACCTCACACTTTCCAAGTCAGCCCCTGTAAGATGTAAGATGGCAATTTCAAATCGTCTGTATGGACCCTCATTCAGTTCGTGTTTGGAATGCTTGTGGATTTGCTGTATAAGCCAGCAAACAAGTAATTCAAATCACTGTATTGTTCCCCTTTACAATGTAGATAATAAGACCACTTACTTCCATGGAATGCCTGTGAAGGTAAATGAAAAATGTGTCAAATGTCAGACACATAACAAAACAGTACAAAATTTACTTATTAAAAGGGCTAATAGGGGTCTGAGGGAAGAAACAAAATGCCCAATGTGGATTAAGGTTAAAATTAAAGATCAAGATGGAGAGGTGTGTACAGTTCATTTCAAAGGTAAAAGAAAGGAGTCATAGTTGCTTCTGATTCAGGCACCTCCCTCTCCACCCCCCAAGAAAGGACAACACCACTCACACACAACACTGAAAATCACATCTCTACCACAAAGCCAGCCAAGCGAAGGGCAGAAGTGACACACAGGCTCTGACATCATGGCATTTCCTTTTTCCTCCAGAGTTAAACATCCAAGTGGCCTACTTCCCCTTTTCTGAATTAATGTTTTCTAATTTATAAAGACAAACAAGGAGATTGAGGCAATTTCTAGAAAATCTGCCATGAAACACCTTTTCTCTACCAGATGAGAGAGAGAGAACTCAAATCACTCAGACTCCTTTTCAGAGTTCAACCTTAAGATTCTCCTTAAAATACAGCACTCCCTTTTCACTCAAAACAAGTCTTGGTTAGTGCTCAATCTGGATCATGAACAAGAATCTGCAATTCTCTCTAAACTGACATCTTGCCTGTCTCATTTCAGGGCAATGCAAAAGTAATTATCCACTTGCCACAGAAAAAAACTGTTACCCACCCCAAATCTCCTCCAACTCTACCTTCCCCCAAAAGCAATACAGAGTTTAGCAACATCTTCAGGATCCTGGGACTACTGACAACAGTTTGGAGCCTCCTCAGCAGTCAAGAACAAGCAGATTCATAACCAGCCCCAATTCCAGGGTTACTAGACAGCTTCCCCAATCTTATTCCTGAATCTGAGTCAACAATGGTGATCTCAGAGGCTTGGCAAGTTACCCACTTCCTATTGGACAAGGAAATGCTCTTACTAACCCCACCCCACTGAAACAAACACTCTCAGAACCTAACAGTACTGTTCCTTTCAAGTCAACTTACAATCCTCTACAGTTTACTCATTCACAAGAGACTGTAAATTTTCTGTTGGCAAGAATTCATTCCCAGCTTCCATGCACATGAGGGCACATTTAAAGGTCAAGTCTACAGTAAAAGAAGGAAGGTGGCACCCACAAAAACACACGTTCTCATGACCTATTCTTGTAGCCTGCCTCAAAAGCTTAGAAATGAAGATGGCTGACACCCACAGGTTAAAAAGATATGCAGGAACTGGAGCAATAGTACAGCAGGTAGCAACTCAGTTTTAATCCCCAGCAACCCCCTGTGGTCCTCCAATTGTTGGCAGGAGTGATCCACGAGCTGTGACCCAGAAGTAGGCCCTGAGCGACTGCTGGGGAGGGAGGGAGGGAGGGAGGGAGGGAGGGAGGGAGGGAGGGAGGGATATAAAGAGAGAGAGAGATAGACCTGCAAGTGTCAGGGATTCGCTGCTTCTAAAGTGCTTCTGGAAAACTAAATTCTGTGTAGTTACTGGACAATAACAATGGTTCAGC